TATTTTCTGATAATAATAATAAATGTAACTTTCATTTCTGGTACCTAATTGTTGTTGTTGTGTGCCCATCAAATCAATTCTGACTCATAGCGACTCTTTATGACAGAGTAGAACTACTCCATAGAGTTTCCTAGGCTGATATCTTCATGGGAGTAGATCTCCAGGTCTTTTCTCCCTTTAGGGGTGGTGGGTTCAAGCAACTAAAGTTTTGGTTGGCAGCCTGGTGTTTAACCATTGTGCCACCAGGTCACTTTCTTGTGCCTTCAAGTTTATATAGTACTTTCATAAGCATTATTTATTGATATACATCAGTTCTTGTTATTTGTATTATATCCTATAAAGTTGCTGAGAACAGTGAATTAGCAAATACTGAATCATTGCTCCCAACGGAAATAAAGGGTGAAGTTCACACAGGCCTCTGGTCACACATTTTCATCAACTCATCAATATATAACTTGTTTCATGTGTGTTTTTGCTTAAAGACACCTTTTTAAATATATATTGTTGTTTCATTAATATTGAACTTACAGCTAATAACTTATGCCTGAACAAAGCTTATTTAACTGATAAATTTTTTCCATAAGGCAAATCACCACCTTGTGCTTAGAAATATTAGACAGCCCTCCAGCCCTGTGCTTGGGAACCATTTTAAATAGCAAAACTACCAACAAAAATGTAAATAATGTGGCCCTAAATAGACAATTAAAAGGATACACGTTTACAGTATGATGGCTGAAACAAGAAGGCAGAGCATCATCTTGTTTGACCTCAGCTGGAAACGTGTGTGATAGGCAGCTCATTTTTCACTTCTTTTTGCATCTGCAAATGACCACAAAAGCACCATAAATATTGATTTTGGGGTTATAGATAAATTTTAGCAAATAGTTTAAGTTTTCAAATATGGAATCCACAAATAAGGAGGATCAGCTATAAATGAGATGGCTGGCTTTTTCTCCAGGAGTCCCAGTGGCACAGTGGTAATCAGGGATTATCATGAACTTTAATATTAATATTAGCTAAGTATAGGCCCAAGTGTAGGTTAGACTTCCCTGTTCTGCATTCTCACAGCAACCGGTAATACCTCATTAATTCAAATTTATTACAGTTGTAACATTATTTGTACAATTTTTTTACTTAATATCTCTGCTTATCTCTAGACTGCAAGCTCCATGAATTTAGGAACCATGTCTGTCTTATTCCCCTAACATTTAATGCAGTTCTTCACACATGGGAGTTTAATAAATATTGGTTGAATGAACAAATTGTATGTATAATCTTGTGAGAAAGGAATTATCTTTGTTTTTCAGATGAGTAAACTGAGGCTTGGAAGGATTACTATTTAATTTACCTAAAATGGTCAGTTATAGAAACAAGACTTTGACTAGCCTCCTCCGACTCCCAATCCTGTATTATTTTGTTACACTGGTTGTTCCCTAACCACCGCCACAAAAAAACAAATCCACTGCTGTCAATTCAATTCTGACGCCCCCCCCTCGTAGTTCCTAGACACTAGGTTATAAAGATAACCTAGGGAGCCTTTGAATATACAAGTTCTTAGGCCATACTCAGGGAGCTCTGGTAGCATAGTGGCTAAGACACTTGACTGCTAACTAGAAGGCTGTCGGTTCAAACCCACCAGCCAGTCCTCAGAAGGAAGATGGGGTAATCTTCCGTAGTGATACTGCCTAGGAAACCCAAGGAGGGGTCGCTATGAGGTGGGCCCTACTCGAGGGCACATAACAACAACAACAGGCCATACTCAAAGCCTATTGAAGGAAAATCTCTGAAAGTGGGACCTAGGACTTTATTTAAAAAATAAAACTACTCAGGAGATCTTTGATAATGAGTAATGTTTGGGACTCAGTGATTTATACCATTGGCAAACTACTGTTCCTAGGGCCAAATCAGCCCACTGCCTGTTTTTGTAAATAAAGTTTTAGTGGAACTTGGCCATGCTTAATACACGTTATATGGCTGCTCTGACATTGCATTGGCAGAGTTGAGAAGCTGTGACAGATTTTATGACCTGCAAACCACAACATTTTTCTTATTTGGTCCTTTACAGAAAGTTCATCAACTTCTGATCAGTATACCTTGCTGCTTGTAGTATTTCTTCTGTGGTTATTTTAGTGCTTGGAGATAACAGTAGATGTATGATGTCTGGCTCTGTGATGGATGTAATTCATTGCCTTCAAGTCCAAGAGCACTGGAGACACAGTGATTAAGTGCTCATCCTCTAACCAAAAGGCTATTCAAACATACCAGCTGCTCTGCAGGAAAAAGATGTGGCAGTCTGCTTCTGTAAAGATTTACGTCCTTGGAAACCTGTGGGTCAGTTCTACTCTGCTTTATAGGGTTGCTATGAGTCAAATCAGCTTGATGGCAGTAGGTTTGGTTTGCCTTCAAGTCCATTCCAACTCATGGCAACCCCATGTGTTACAGAGTAGAACTGTCCATAGGGTTTTCTTGGCTGTAATCTTTATGGAAGCAGAATGCCAGAGGTTTCTTCTGCAGTGGGTCTAATTGTGTTAAAACTGCCAACCTTTACATTACTAGTCAAGCACAAACTCTTTACATTAGCCTGGGACCTGGTCATATAGTAGGTGCTCAAATATTATTACTGAGTCAATAAAAATAAGATATTTTTCAGTCTACCCAAGAATAAGTATTAAAACATAGGTAATTCAAGCATACAAAGATCGGAAAAATACTAATCTAGGTATGATTCAAGCCAGTCAGCCTTCACAATGCCTTCACTGCTTTAAACAAGAGTTTCCTTTTCATTTAGTTAGAAATAGGATGTTCTCTAAATGGTGGAAAGTCTGAGGTTTCTGACCTATATATGTTACAGCACAGGGATTGATTACCAGACTTGTGTTGTGTAGTACAAAACTAAACTCCAAACTCACTGATGTGGAGTCAGATCCGACTCATAGTGACCCCTCCTTGGGTTTCTGAGGCAGTATTTCTACGGAAGTAGATTGCCCAACCCTCCTTCTGAGGAGTGGCTGGTGGGTTTGAACTGCCAGCCTTCTGGTTAGCAGTCAGATGCCTTAGGCACTATGCCACCAGAGTTCCCTGAGTTGTGTAGTTGTTGTTTTTGTTATGTGTCATTGAGTCAGACCCAATTCATAGCGACCTCTCCTTGGGTTTCCGAGACAGTATCACTACGGAAGTAGATTGCCCTATCTTCCTTCCGAGGAGTGGCTGGTGAGTTGTGTAGTAGAGAACTGTAATTAATACCTAATTATTTTGGTACTCCTCATGATGTTATAATTTTTAAAACTAAATCTCTTGGGTGCTTTTGGTCACAGCTCAGAGTAATACAAGCAGTTACCCAGGACTAACCATATCACTTGACCTGAAATTCTACTAATATAGTATTTGTTAGCCACATGTTAAATTTAAATTAAATTAAATTTTAAATTCACTTCCTCACTCACGTTAACGCCACATTTCAGGTGTTGACTAGTTACATGAGGCCAGTGATTACCTTATTGAATAGCACAGATACAGAACAGTTCTGTTATTATAGAAAGTTATTGGAAGTGCTTCTTTAGACGCTAGAGTGTAAGAATTGTAGCCTAGTCAAATCTAAGGCATACTATTTGACTTAATTCTTCATTTATGAGGCTGGAATAAAAAAATTGTAATGCTTTCTTTTTCTAATAGCAGACTGTGATAAAATGTATTCAGTCCTTGCTTTAGGGCTTTCTAAGCTGGCAAGAAACTATCAAATTCTGATAAGCTCTTTAAATCTTTGACTCCAGGAAATACCCATCTCATTTACCCAGTGGACTAACTGTCTAGTCAAGATAATTAATCAATGGCTAGTTCATGAAATGGTTCAGAATTGACCATGTGATTTTGGGCCAAATATTTAGCTTAGTTAAGGAATGGTGGGAAAGGGACCGATTTTAAAACAGAAGCTATGAAGTCAGTAGAGTGTAAAGTGTTGGCATCATCTTTGGAGTGATTTAAATTTCATCATTCAGTTACTCATTTTTATTCCCAGCAGCTAGTGCTTTTTGCATGGCCCAAAGGGGCCTTGTGCTGCTCCACTACAGAGGAAACTTCAAGAAATGCTGGTTTGCTACAGTATTTTAGCTTGTGAGAGTCTCTGGGACCTTCCCTGCTCCATCATGGGGTCACCTCTAGGTGGGTATTAGGAGGATTTTGGTAATTAGTTAACATATAAATAAGAATGTGGTAATCTTTTGTGATCTAGTGAGATAACATATTTAACAGCCTGACCCTTAAAATATATTCCCTGGCCTGAGCATTGTGTCATCTGAAAGATTGTTTCTTTAATGCAGTATGCCTCAGACTTTGAGAGGCTGTATACTATTTCATGAGGCTAAATTCCCAACGTGCTCTTATTTCCTGTTGTTAGAAATATTTCCCATGTCCTACTTTTTCTCTAAATTACAACATGCTTGTCATTTTGCACCTCAGAGCAGTGTAGCTGTGTCAGGGATGAGGGTGGGAGGTGGGTGGATGAAAGAACCACTTTTGACACTGAGGATTCAAGTATAATCTCACTTATTCTGGCTTCCCCTCCTCTTACGTCCTCCCACCTCATGTCTCTAAATAGACTTTCTTTTATTTTTCCCAAACTGTGATGGTGGGATCCAACCATATTGGGTGTTAGAAGCTGTCACTTGACAGCAATAGGGGTTCTCTCCAGGAGTCAGATTGTTCAGAAGGAATTCCCCCACCTATCTTCTGTCTCTTCTGTTTTCCACAAACTGCCTGGGCATTTCTTCAAGATAATTGGTTTATCTTGCTCTGGCATTTAGGATCAAGTTACTTATTACTCCTCTTCTGACAAATGAATATATTCCATTTTCTTAATACTCTTTGATCTGAAACAGGGAAAAATAAGTTTTCTTGTGTTCCAAAACAGTCTGAAATGGCTAATGTTTAGTGTAGATTACTTGCTTCGTGACAGCATTTTTTGAGGGAGTTGACTATGATAAAAATTTCTATTTCCTTTACAGGTCATTTTACCTGGGAAAAATACTTAAAAGAAACATGTTCAGTCCCTGCCCCTGTCCATTGCTTCAAACAGGTAATTGATTCTCAACATCTTTACTAGGTGGGAGGCAAGTAGTTTTTTTGTGGTCCTCAGACAAGCAAAACATGAGGTAGGAACCCTTGAGCTTCTCCCCTTAGTAACCCAGAATAAACTTTTATGTGAAAAACATAAGAAGTAATATTTAATCATCATAAGTTCCAGCAGCAGATACCCTTCCCAGCTTCATCTCAAGCAACAACCTTTCTTTCTTACTTCCTTGAGGGTATTCTTTGTTACTGTTCATTTTTACTCTAGCTCTTAATTAAAATGGATAGGAAAGAGAGTTATGGTCCAGGCAGTTCTGAAAAATGGAGCAGCATCAGTTCTCTGTATTAACACCCCTGCCACAATCTTATCTTTCTTTAAGCGTGTGGGCATAGAGCTCTGTTGGTGAGCATTTTCAGAACGCATCAGAAGTAATCCAGAGCTTCTCACATAGGAGTAAGTGCCCCAAACAATGTGTAGATGATGCTAACCATATCAGTATATGATAAGGCTGTTAGGCAAAGAAGTGTACTGCTGCTAAACAAAGCTAAATATCAGGAAGTTGTTTATATCTCCCTCCTTTAGTACTCAATGATTATTTCCATAAACTATCAACATTTCACTTTTGAGTTTGAATTTGTATATTTTCAAAATAAAAATAGAATTTAGGACTTCTGTGCACTTGTGAAATAATAGACTAGATTCATACACCCACCTGAAATAGTTTTTTCAAAAGAGACAAAATATATATATATATATATATATATATATATATGTGTGTGTGTGTGTGTGTGTGTGTGTGTGTATTATATATAAATTTTGGTGAAGTTTACAGAGCAAATTCACTTTTCATACAGCAGTTCACATATACTTTGTCTCGTGTCATTGACCACAATTTACCACAATGCAACAGCTCCCCTCCCACTTCCTCCCCATGGTTACCTCTTCCCAGTGTCCATCCCTCCATACTCTCCTGCCACCTGAGCTATCTCCCTGTGCATAAGCAGCCCTTACTTCTCCCATGATTGTTCTCTCCAGGGCATGTGTCTACTTGAGGTAAATGTTTAACTCACATTCCTGTACTTTGTTTGGCTGGAAACCACAGGTGTGGGTTCAATTCCAGACCTGAAGGGCAGCTAGGGGCCATAGTCTCAGTGGTTCCACCAGGCTCTATTGGACCAGCAAACCTGGTCCCCACCTTCTTTTTTTTTTTCCTCCAAATGATTTTGAGTTTTGTTCCACATTGTTCTCCTTCTCTATGCAGGATCTCCTACATCCGTTCCAAGTGGATGACAGTGGTAGCCAGGCACCATCTAGTTCTTCTGGTCTCATAGTTGTATAGGTTGCAGATCAGATGGTGTACCAGTCACTAGGACTGATTGTTTCCATTAATTTTGGTTTTCTTCTTTCTTCTTGATGAGGAGAGACCCATCTTTGCATCTAGATGGCAGCTTGCTAGCTTTTAAGATCCCAGTCGCTACTCGCCAAAGTAGGAGGTGGAACAATGTTTTGTATAGTATGTTATGCCAATTGAGCTTGATGTGCCCTGTGACTATGGTCCCAAGCCCGCAGGTTCAACTACTCGGTCACTCTGCGTAGCTGGCTGTGACCAAGCAATGACCACAACCTTGCCCCTTGTCAGCTCTCTGTACACCTGGGAATTCTGATCATGCATGTAAACTTACAGGATCATTGTCTGTCAACCCTATATATGATCTTGGATACAGTCCCCATTTAGACATACCTAATTGTTTAGCCTGTCCACCTATCTATCCGTCCATATACCCATGTTTGCCTTCACTGGCAACTCAGTACTGTATATGCAAAAGGGTTCATATTTGTTGTCTGTACCTCCCATGTACCTCTCTATGTCTTTCTCATCCTCAGCACTGCCATATTGGTCACTCACATTTGGTACATTGCCCTTCTCTTCACCCAAATCAATATTTATCTCTATCTATCTAACAGCGTTCCCTCTCCTCCCCTCCCACCCCTGGTAACCAACAAAGAAAATTTCCTCCAATAGATAAGCCTTTCCTTAACTTTTACAATAACAGACTAATACAATATTTGTCCTTTTGTGATTGACTTATTTCACTCAGCATAATGTCCTGCAAGTTCATCCACGTTATGCGGTGTTTTGCAGATTCTACATTATTCTTTAGCGTTGCATAGTATTCCATTGTGTGTATGTACCATAGTTTGGTTATCCATTCCTCAGTTGATGGACATCTAGGTTGTTTCCATGTTTTGGCTATTGTAAATAGTGCTGCGATGAACATGGGCGTGCATATATCTGTTCTTGTCATGGCTCTCACTTCTTTAGGGTGTATACCTAGTAATGGGATGGCTGGGTCAAATGGTATTTCTAATTCCAACTTTTGAAGGAATCACCATACTGCTTTCCACAATGGTTGTACCATTTTACAGTTCCACCAGCAGTGTATGAGAGTCCCAATTTCTCCACATCCTCGCCAGCATTTGTTATTTTCTGTCTTGAACTTTGCTACTAGTGCTGGAGCAAGATGGTATCTCATTGTTGTTTTGATTTGCATCTCTCTAATAGCTAATGATCGTGAGCATTTCTTCATATGTTTGTTGGCTACTTGAATATCCTCCTTGGTAAAGTGTCTATTCATATCTTTTGCGAGACAAAATATTTTTAAACAACAGTTTTCAAGTCACTTAAGATCAAGCATCCAGGCACACTGACCTCTGAGATATAGGAAACAAATGAGGTGAACGCTACATTATCCCAGCTTACTTCCTTGAGAGAGTTTCCATGTTATGGTGTAGAGAAGGGGAACCCTGGTTGAGCCTAGCAGACTCCTTAATTTGAGAAGACAAAGTTGGGTGTCCAAGGAAACAAAGGCAACTAGAGTTTGTAGGACAGAATACCAAAGAAGAGAGAGCTGCACAGAAAGAAAATCATGAGTTCTGAAAAGGGTCTACCCTTTTAGTATTCAGCAGAGTACTACTGAGCAGTGCATGCTGCATGTGAGGAAGCTCTCCAAAGCCAAGGAAGAAGCTATCAGAAAGGATTAAAGGAATAGAGCCAGGCACTGACACAGGGCTGGGAATAGGACTTGTTCCCACCAGCCAGTTTGGAAAATCTTGTAATTCATGGGGTATGGGTGGAATACACAGGAAGGTCTTACTCAGTAAAGGGGGATAATTAGCCTTAGATTGAGTATTGCTCTGTACTCACTTAACAGATTACAGAAACAAGACTCAAAAAGATCAGTCTGTTATAAATAACTTAATTGCATCTGAGAAGAAAGCGCAAGATTTATAGGAAAACAAAAATATCCAGTACCCAACATGCTAAAATTCATAATTTGGGCATCCAGTGGAAAATTACCAGGTAAATAAAGAGGCAGGAAAACACAATCAATAATGAGGAGACTAATTAACAGATTAAAACCAATTCAGAACCTACACAAATCTTAGAATTAGCAGACAAGAATAGTAAAACAATTACTTTAACTGTATTCTATATATTTAAAACTTAAGCAGAAGCATGGAGAATAGAAAAAAAGGCCCATACTCAACTACTGTGTGTGGAAATGAAAAACAGATTCCTGAGATTAATGGCAGGAGAAAAGTAAGCTTGAAGACAAAACAATAGAAACTATTCAAAAGGAAACACAGAAAAGGGAGTTGTTTTTTAAAAATGAAAAGTGTCAGTGTGCTGTGTGATAACTTCAATTGACCTAATAATAGACGTGAAAATGGAGTCCCCAAAGTAGAGAAGAGACAGGGAACAGGAAATACTATTTGAAGAAATATCAGTTGAAAGTTTTCAAAATTAAGAAACACTAAATCTACAAAACCAAGAATCTCAATGAATCTCAGAAAAAAGAATAAGAAGAAAACTACACTGAGACATGCCGTAAACAATTTGTTCAAAATCAGTGATAGAGAAAATCTTAAAAGCAGGTGGGGAGGGGCAGTGGTGGAGGTGGATGACACTTTACATACTAGGGAACAGTGATAAAAATGACGTGACATTTCTTGTTGGAAACACTGCTAGCAAGAAGCAAGGAATAACATCTTTAAAGTAACAAAAACAAAAACTTGTCAACCTAGAATTCTATACCCAGTAAAACTCTCTCAAAAACAAAAGTGAAATACAGATATTTCAGACATAATAAAAGCTGAAGGAATTTAATACCAGCAGACTCACACTATTATAAATGTTTAAGGAAGTCTTTCAACCAGAAGGAAAATATACCAGATGGAATTATGGATCTATACAAAGAAATGAAGGACAGCAAAATATGGAAATTACAAGGGTAAATATATGTTGTTTTTCTTATTATTTAAATCTTTATGAAAAATAACTGTGTAAATAACAATAATAGTATATTATGAGATTGATAACAGGTATATAAGTAAAATATATGATAATGACAGCCTAAAGACCAGAAGAAGAGGTTACCATTTAGGTATACTGCTAACTGTTTAAGTGTAGTATTGTAACATTCTTCTGTTGCTCATGAAAAAGTGAAATATGATTTACAATAAACCGAAGTAAAAAATGTGTGCTGTAAACCCTAAAATAACTACTAAATGACAACACACAGAGTTACAGCTAGGAAGTCAACATAATCATAAAAACCAGTTTAAAAGAGGAAAAAGGTAACAGCACATTTTTAAAGCTAGAAACAAATATCAAGATGGTAGATTTAAAATCAGATATGTCAATAATCACATTAAATGTAAATTATCTAAATACTCCAATTAAAAGGTTAAGATTGTCATAAAATGCATACAAAGTAGACCTAGGTTTATATTACCTAGGTTTATATTGCACTTTAAATATAAAGAACCAAATAGTTAAAAAAAGAGAATGAAAAAAGGTATGCTATGCTGAGAATAAACCAAACCAAACCCACTGCCATTGAGTCAATTCTGACTCATCCCAACCCCCATTGGGTTTCCAAGGTGGTAATCTTTACAGAAGTAGATTGCCCCATCTTCCTTCTGTGGAGTGACAGGTGGGTTTG